ATTTGCTGCTGAGATTAATTGAGATACCGTTCTATAATTATTGATAGCAGTATTCTTTTGACGAACTTAATTTGGAGACGAAGTTGAAATAAATGAAAAAATACAAGTCTGAGCAGAATATTTTGGCGAAGCAGTAGAAAAATACCTCTTAATAGTGGAAGGTCGAGATCGAGATCGAGATCGAGATCGACATCTCACATCCAATGTTCATGCCATATAAGCAACAAATGCTAGTAAGTGCGATCAGTGAGGAGAGAGCACGCTGCTCAGTGCACATATTGGGTGCAGACTGTGCAGATAGAATTTGTTGAAACAGTACAAAATTTTCAAAAAAGCACAGAAACCAGTAATAATAAAGACAAGAGAAGCAAAGTTTTACAATGAAAAAAAACAGAAATTTATAATCTGTACAATGACTAGTAGTAGTATGATAGGCCTAAAAACAGAATGGGAGAACCAGTCTTTTTTTACACTTTTCAAATAATTTTCATCTCCTTTCTATTCTTCAGTCTTCGGTATCTCTTCGACTAGCAACAGTTAATTTACAGACAAAAACAAAATAATCGCATAATACAACAGTAAGAACCAGAATCGGAACCGATAAACCAAGTAAAATGCTTCTTAAAAATTCCTAAAACGATCGCTAATTTGAGAAATAATCGAAATGGTAGTACAAAATTTTCACATCAAGTGTGATGGAGTGATGAAAAAAGCGTCACGTTGCGAGTTTCTCAAATTAAGAGCTGGCACATCCAGTTCCTCTTAGAATCACGAAAGATCGCAGGGACTAACTAAGGAGCTGGCATGTCCAGCCAATGACTCCTTTTCTCTAAATTTAAGCTACAAACCCGCTATCACTTGATTTTCAGAACTACGAGCGGCCGAACGAATTCTGTACTACCCAATGATTATTGTTCTTAAATAAAGCCGTGTATGCCATTTTCAGTCCGTTCTGCCCTAATGGCTATATTTCTAGTTTCTTCAGCAAACTGTATACTAACAACAGTCGATTAACAACTAATCAAATACTACCTACTCCTACCAAACATATCTTGCTTTTTTAGATGTCACCCAAAAATTTAAATTTTTTTCAAAGCAACAACAGCAAGTTCAAAAAACTGCACTCCAATCAGTCACATATATTAACATGCACAATGATAAGTATATATGTGAATTTAACTGGAAGCAGCAATAAATCAACAAAATATCACCAAACGCGATACAATTTCATTGAAGAAGATTGAAATACAATTTAATACGAATTGGATGACAACTTGACTGATTTTTCTCGGTCATTTATATCCATCCTAATCTCGTTTTGCATATCTTTTGATCAATTATATATTCCTCTCTAATATTCTCAACTCATTTTCTTTCCTTATCTATTAATGAAAGATCTTCCATACTTTAATCTACATTTTTGTGAAATCACCTTTTGCTTTTATAACTTACACTATCACAATTCCTCTTTTTTCGCCTTATTTTTTGATCTATTCTATATACACGTATTTTTTTCATATTTTTCGCCCCCTTTTCCGTGTCATCCTATTCAAATTAGGCACATTATGAAAGCAGTAGCAAGTTACAAAAGCACACAGTTTGACATATCCACTAAACAGTGATGAAGCTGCCGTTACTGTCTGATATATCCTATATTCTATTTTACTTATAAGTTAATTTTATCTGTATTGCTTCAGTAACAGAAATTTTCATTTATTGTTTGTTAAATTTTCTTCTAATCTATTCACATAGTAATGATAGCAATAAATATACAAACATCTATTTTTACACCTGTAAATTCTTGAAACATACTAATCTTTAAAACGCGATTTCCAAAAGCGCCTTTCAAAAAGAATCGATCGAGTGAATTCTGTGGACGGCTGTTGACGTGAACCATGGGATGACTGAACATCCAAACAAACCCATCTTTCTTCCTTTCTCTATGCGTCTGATAGGTTCCTCTTTTCAAAGTATATTAGTTACGATGGTAGGCTCAGCCTAACCGTGAAGTGTTATACTAATAAAGTACTTTTCCTTTGTTGGCCATATGACAATTTGCAGTTATTAGTTAGTTTTGATGTCTTCAAAGCCAGATTCCAAATCATAAAAAAAGATTCTTCGGCACTAATTGTTGCTGTTCTCAAAACCTGTCTTCAAAATTATTAATTAAAAAAAAATTGTGTTTCGTTGCTGCACCTCGATATGCACCGACTGTGTTACAGCTTAAAGGCTTTCAGTGATTATGAATGTTTGGACAGATATCTGAACAATGTGCATCTGGACATAAGTAAACGCCTGACTTTGCACTGATAATTAAAATGTGCGGAATTCCGAATGCTCATTATCTTTTTCAAAAACTGGGCCAGATATTTTATTCATTATATTGATTGAAGTATCACATAGTAATTACTTACACATTGGGATTACAGTAAGTTGATGATTTGGGTTGAAGTTTCTTTGAGCCTTAGCCTGAAATTAACATATGAAACACAAATTACTACTCATATAGTTGATAAAGACTTAGTATATTTTATATTATATTGCACAGCATATTTTTTTAATATTATAACTTTACATACTTGGAATATACTTGCGGTCCTACAAAATTATTTGAGTAATAATTTCTGAAACATTTATTTTTACATTAAAAAATATATTTTACGATAACCTGATATCCTATACACTAAGATAAGAATTGACATGCTATACAAATTTTTTACAATATTTACCATCACATCTTTTTCAATATTCAAACAATGCATAATTCAAGTCTACTTAAGGTCGTTTACAGCTTTTTGAGTAATAAATTCTGGCACAGTTTTCTCAATGTCAAAAATTAACAAGCATTACTAAAACCTGGTGCTTTATACCATTAAAAACTGTAAATGTATTAGACAGATTTCATTATTATGCAAAACATATTTTTTCAATAACTCGGCATATAATTAATAAAAATAAGATACTTCACATTGCATAATAAATTTTTTTGATATATTTTTTAATGGTGTAAATATACATATATTCTGAAGAGATAGCGCTAAAGTCAAAGTATAAATGACCAAGATATATATCCACATTAAATTTTCTAACACATTTTTTTTATTTCCTGACTCGATATAGTATTAGTATAGAAAGGCTTGTTTACGGAAATTAAAGTGAAAAATTCATTTCGTTGTCTGCGTGGTTTCTTATCAAGTGTGTTGTTATAGTGCTTACTCAAACAATGTAATGCAGTGCAAAGAATTTTTTTGAATAAATTTTATATATGTGATTTGCATATTTGCTTCCTCAAAGTATGCAAAGGTATTTATTTGCTATTGGAAGTAAACAGTGAAAATGCGGAACAGAATGATGGAGTTGAGTGTGATGATCACTCAGAGTGGAGTTTTAACGAGAGTTTGTCACAAGTCAAATAACTTTCTCCTTCAAAAGAATGCTAACTTTCAAGTTTACTTTTATTTTGGGACGAAAATTTTTGGAAAATTACAACTTTTGCAATGAATGAAAAAACGGTTAGCTTTTTTTTTTTAATTTATATTTTCAGTAATCTCAGATAGTGTGTTGCTTTTTAGGTGTAAAATGTTACACAACTATTATTTTGAATATGAATTTATTGTCATTACTATATCTCATACGAAAACCAATTCAATAAATATTCCATTCACTGACGTGTATACACTATTTGAAATCTTTACTAGTACAAATTTAGTGAATTTAAAGAATGGTATTCAATGTTGACTGCATTTGCTGACTTTCAGTTAAATATTATTCACTCAATACGAACTAAATGTTCCGCTTCTATGAATAATTAATTGGATGGTAATATTCTATTATCGTACTTTATACGAAAAACATCTGTTTTTCTGCTCCCATTTTAGTAAATTAAGTGGTAGTCACAAAATGTAATGAATTAAATAGCTGAACTTTTATTGGGAATCTTCGGCCGAAAATTCTCATGAAAAGCTCATGATTACTTTGTGCTCGTTAATTTTGTCAGAAAATAAATATCATAAAATATTTAAATTATTTAATTAATATTAATATTTTCAATTCTTGTTGTTTAGTTTTGTTGCTTTTCTGCGATATTTCTTGAGCATTTTAATTAAGAAACATGGAGGATAAATATTTTTTCTTATGAATTAAAGATCATATCATTCATCAAAGGTGTGCATATTTTATTTATATCTTAATGAATATTTTTCTATAGCTTCTCTGATGAAAATTCAAATGGAAAAAGTGAAAATTCAAATAAAAAAACATTTTTAGAAAAGCACACACGCAGACACACACATTTACACAGTAATCAACAGGTAATAAGTTTAGAGACACGCTTGTATTTTAGTTTTAAGTATTTTTAGGGAAGAAAAAAATGGATTACTTTGATAAAATGGATTACATTTTATTGTTATCAGAATTAGTCAAGCATGTCTATTGCTTCACTTCTATCACATAATTGTTTTTTTCAAAACTACAATTTTGCCAATTCTTTCAAAGTTAAAAATTACTACAATCATAAAGTATCGGATTCCTCCAAATTACAAATTTTTTCACAGCAAAATTATTTTTCTGCCATATTTTCGGGTATCGCCGTAAAAATTCGTGCAAAAAAGTATTAATAATGAAGAAAATGCATAATCCATTTCAGAGTGATAAATTAAAAATGTCTGAATGTATTGTCAATCTAAAACATCCATCTTCTTCTGACTATTTCAGAAGAATACTTTCTGTTCGTTTTACACTCCATTATTCTATGAAAAATGCGTAACTAGCATCATCAAAAATTGAAACAATCCATGATTCCCTCAATAATCACTCTCATAAATGTTATTATTTTATGGACGTAAATTACCAGAAAAAATAAATGATAACTCTGATCTTAATCACAATCAATTAAAAACATTTAATGATGTGATTAATTATCGCTATCAAACTTTTTTGCCTCGGAGTTTCAGCAATATACTTTTTATTTTCTTCACTTCAATTGTTATTCAAACCTACAGGCTTACGCTAAGTGTCAAGAAGCAAAACATCGCCGTAAAATTATCTTACCTTCTGTGATTTCATGGGAGTATGGTTCTAATAAATATGCAAGTCAAAAAGGTACCACTGGTTTTGGTAGCATTCGAAATGCAAGTGAGTTCTTATTCTGAAGTGTAATTCCTCATACTTGTCTGCTTATTTTTTTCAAAAGTCATCAATAATTATTTCGTCATAGTAGTTAATATCAATGATATTTGCTATTTATTATATTACTTGCTCACAATAAAACTTGAATTTTCTTAACCAGACATCTGGCTTATTGAGTGTAGCTTCGATCCAATGTCTTGAATATCATTGATCATACTGTCGTCAGAAAGATAAGCTTTCGAGTTTAGCCACGCTTCAATCCATTGCAATTACTTTAGATTCGCTCGCAAGACTTTTTTCAAGTAAATTTACTGCTTAGTTTTTGCAACACTAAATATTTTCAAGAAAAGATCAATAAATGTGCAAGTCAAAAAGGTGCCACTGGTTTCGGTAGCATTCGAAAGTTCACAGAGCACTGTCAAATTCTTTCTCATCAAGTCATTGAAATTGGAAATAAGTGAATTCTGCTTTTGTGCCAACTGGTCCGGCAGTAATTGTGTCATAACTTAAAATTTGCCACTGATTATTATTGTATGAATTTGCAATTTTTCTACAAAATCGCTTAACAGTCAATTTAGTAATTAAACAAATATAAATAGCAAATGTTCAAAATATTGCAGCGAAAATGATGCAATTTTGGTATGAACAGAAAATCTCAATCAGTGTTTGAAAAATCAAAAATGATATCAGTTATTTGAATAGCGCAAATAAATAAACTACGATTTTTTCAAAAAGGACCATTGACAGCTGATATGATATCAAATGATACAATTTTTACGAGTTGACGCATAAATTTTCATCATGAAAATATTTCTTTATTTCAATAACAATACTTAATAATTTGTTTTCTAAATAATATTAGTTCGTGGTTTACACGCAACCATTTGTTTATTTTTTAAAACATACTGGACAATATGTTCTAGTGAAATAGAAAAAACATTCAAAATGTACAAAATTTAACATTTTCTGCAGTACTAAAAAAGTTTTTTAATGCAAATTTAAGCGTCAAATACATAATTCAATGCAGTTTGATTCATAAGAGTTGAAGTTTAGAAGTATTTCTTGCTCATTAAATAATACAATTTTTAGAGTTCAAAAAATTCTTCAAGGTTGAATTGACCTTTTTAATGTTATACTGATTTTTTATTGTGAAAATGATTTCTGTAATCGAAAAAAGATATCCTTTTACAAATTAAAAGTATTCTCTTGCTCAAGTTTGTTACACAGTTGTATTATATCAAAAATAAATTGATAATTAAAACTAATAAGGCTATTATTTATAGTACTTTATTATATTTTATTTTTTGTTTCACATACGCATATGAACAGACCAAACAATTTGAAATTTGAACAGAATTTTCCGTGCTTTACTGAATCATAACTATTTTATTTCAGAGTAAAACTGCAGCTAAAAATAGCTGAATTAATATTTAATTATTTTGACGAATTCGTTTTATATCACTTCCATCAAATCTTCAATTTTTCAATTCAATTTTTAGCAACTCAAATTACAAGTACCAAACAATTAAGTGAAAGTAACGATGGTGTGGTGCCATGGATCAACTGTCCTCAATTACGAGATAAAGAACTTGCATCTCAGTCAGGTCTCACACCCTTTGGTGGTATTCGAGAGCATTCAATTAAAGTATTGGATAAGGTAAATTATTTACTTAAACTTTTCTAAAAAAAACTGATCAGAATTATGAACTTGAGCAAAATTTTGTTATTTTTCAAATCATTTCATTAAAAATCAAGCCTGTACTTTGACTCTTTGAGTAGTATTTAATTATTCGCAGCATTGAAAATGTAGTGAAATTGATTTCATAGAATATTAGAATAAATTTATGTGTAATGTCGCACTGCAAAAAGGGACAGTTTCTGCAAATTTGTTTGTTAAAAATTTAATAATCAATTCAACTTTTTATCACAAATTTAAATAATTTGTGTGAACTTTTTCATGTTTTCGTGCTTTTATTTTATTGAAAATTTTACATTTCTAAACGCAATTGCTCGTGCGAAAATTGTAATAACCTTTCAATCATTTAATGTTTTGACTGAGTTTTCGAATCAAATATTTTGTTTTGATGAGCAGTGCATTAGCAATTGCTTCTAACCTTCGCTACCTTCAAATCAGTCAAGATATTATTGTAATTCATTTATCGATCACGAAATGTATTTTTGTTGTTTTTATTAATGAAATGTGCAAATAAAAATTTTTTTAAAATCAAATCAAATTCACTATTTCAGTGTCTATTATTTTTGCTTTGCTATTATTTGAACTACTAAAGCTAAAAATTAATCCATCAAATGACTTTTGATTTGCAAATCAATCAGTAGATAGAATAATACAACAGAACCCAATTTCGTTTGTAAATAATGGAGTACTATTATGGTGGCGGTCGAAAAAATAAGTTATGTAATTACTTGGCAAATGCGTTAAATCATTTCACACATAAAAGCTCATGCAATATGATTAAGTTTGCTGGAAAATCTGTTTGTTAGAGAAATTTAAAAGCAACGAGCAGAATTAAACTTTACACTTCAAAGGCAAACATTTTTGTAATTATGTAATCATTTTAATTAAAATAAAAGTCATTTTAGGTAGGAGAAAAAAAAAAGGAAATACACAAAATTATCAACGATCAAGCAAGAGAAGGTATTTTGAAAATCTGGTCAACACCAAATCCTGAAGCTAAAACTGACCAACCATTTGGTTAGTGCATTGTTTGAACGAGTACAACGATGCGCGAAATGAATGATTGAAAATGATCAAATTTAAATTTGCTGTGTATTATATTAATTTTCTGTTTACTTTTGGGCTAACATTGATGAATGATTTTTGCTAGTTCATTTTAGTAACAAGCCAGTCATTCAGTGATTTAATAAATAAATATTTATTGTGCGATATTAAAGATATATCAATTTATTTAATCATAAATTAGTACAAATAAATTGAGAGCAATAATATTAACGAAATTTAGGACATCATCGTCATGCTGTAATGGAAATTAAAGGTGGTCGACAATTTAGTCAGAAAGAGTTAAATGCCAGTCGAGCGGCTATTCCAAAGTTCCAAGATCCTCGAGGAACTCTGGCAGCTAAGGCAGAAAAAGTAATCAATACACTTGCTTTGATCCTTTATCCATATCTTCGACTTACCAATTAAATAACTGGACAGGAGTTCAATTTTGGATCTCGAATGAATACCAGTTTATTCTGATATGATTTCGCCAGTAATTCTGGATTTGTTTCGGAGTCCAAATTGAGTTTGATTGGAATACTTTTAGAATCGTTCAATTGTACCAATCACCAGCAGTAGCCAAAATTTAACGAGTATGGAAAATCAGATCAAAACTGATGCCAATGTTTTAGATGCAGATCAGTACATGGCATGGGTCGGAGGACAGGTTTATTGATTTCGCATAATTTTTAATTCCATTTGAAATTGTTCATTTTGACTTGAATTTTTGCTGATAATGTGCATATTATCAACAAAAATTCAAGTCAAAATAAATAATAGTTACCTGCCTGCAGTATACTTTTAACTAAATGTAAAGTGAAAAGTAAAATCAAATAACAAATTAACTTTGATGATTTCAGCTCACTCTACATTCGCATTTGCATTCCGGTAAGCTTGAAAGACCTTGTGATTGGAGCTCTCGATCATACTTCGACCGAGTAATGAGCGAAAGGAAATATTTGACTTTGAAAGCAGAAGAATATTTGATAGATCAAACAAAAGAAAAACAAGCTCTGCACAGTGAAAATAATGGATGTGATCTGAACAACGGAAACAACAAGTGAAAAGATTAATGATAGTAATCCGAAATTAGATGGTAGAACAAAGGAAGGCAAAAATTATGATCTGAAATTGGAGAATTAAACTTGAAAAAGTATATTAACATTAACAATATTGTGGATGATAAGGAATTCACTTGTTGTTTCCGATAAGGAATTCACTGATAAAAGACTGAGTAGACTGATTTTAGAAATTAACAATTTACTATAATAAAACATCTATTATAGATGTCTGCAACTGATAAATTAAAAAATTACACTTAGTAAGTAATATTTTCAAACCTGAAAATATCACTTGCTTCAATTGTATTTTCATTTTTTCAGTTTCTTTTGTTTTCAGTGCAAATAAAAGTTATTATTAGGCGTTGGTCTTATACTTGTGTTAACACAATTTCTATAAAGACAAGTTCAGTTTTCACTTTTACTTTTTTCTTCAGTAAATTTTAATGCGATGTGAAAGCAACTGAAAATTAACAAAGCCATCACTAGTTCTTCTACTATGCAAATGAAATATTTGTCATGCAACTGACTTATTATTTACATTGCATTGCTTGTGGACAATTTTTTTTTGCACATTAGTGTGTTGAAGAGCTCAGCATTGGTCCAGACTCGTTCAGTGGTCATTTCTGAATTATGAACTAAATTTAAACTTTGGTTTTTGATTGGACTTTGACAACTGACTAGTAAATTTATGCAGTGACACGCGATAATTCACGTAATATCATACTCAAATTAATAAAATTATCTAAAGTGCTTCCACTAATTGCACATTTAGAAGTTTTCCGATGCATTAAAATATTATTATTGCACAGATTTTGGTTTAAAAGAATTGCAATTTCCAAATGCAAAAAGTGTAAATTTAGGTAGGTCTGATTTCATTTATATGATCCAAAATCGCTTCATTCTGCTTGATTCGCGTTCAAAAATCAAAGAGTTTGCAAGTTGAGTAAAATGCCACTTTCATTTGCTACTGTATACCTTGAGAGCATTTATTCAGGAAATAAACTCGACCTTAAATGCATACACAATTCTACTCTTATAACAATCACAAAAATCATAAAAGCGCTTCTTTTTGAATTGTTATTTTTGAATTTCAAATCTACCAAACTATACTGCAAATATCAATATATAGCAAATACAAAATTTATGAGGCACTAATTTAGAAGTTAGTATCAGTGTGTTTCGTTTAGCAGCAAATGTATCAAGTCAAGACATAAAATTCAAATTTAAACAGAAGAAATCACAGCAAAAATTTTTCTGTTGCCATTAATTAATTAATTAAAAAATATTACTATTCAAATTTTGCTTTAAAATATTATCCATCCAAAAAATTCAGGCGCTCCTTTGAATAGTGTGGAGGAGAGACAAGCAGCTGAGTTCAATCAATTATAGCTAAATTATCAGGCAAATGTTCATCGCAGCGAATGTATTATTCATTTATGTTTTCTGTGCTTACTTTCCATTTAAATTCGAAGTTTTTACCACTTCGCTCACACTTAAACACAGTTCATTCCACGCAATCAAATTCGATGCAATAATTTTATTTCAGTTCAGTTTACTTGCACTTTTTGAATGAAAATGCATCTTCCAATCAATAATTACTTTGATCAACATACAATGCATTTTCATTTGAGCTTAATGAGCTAGTCTGACACACATTTTGCTTCTGAAGACTTACTTTGGGATATTTGATTTCACGTCAGTATATAAAGTCATCCATGCATCAAATAATATCGATGTTATTGTTCATCAATATGTACGAACTAGTTTTTAATTTAGACGTTTTTTAAAGTAAACTCTTACGTGTGATTTACTGGTTTTAAAAAAGTACAGTCATTTATATTTTTAGTATAAAAAATTTTCTGCTGTAAAATTTTTCTGAATGTAGCGTTCATTGCAAAGTCTAATTCATGT